TGATAACTCCAGTAGTGACACGTAATATTGATTATATTTAAAATTCAACCATTGAAATGGTTAAACACAAAATGATTTGATTGAGTTTTTGGCTGAAGTTCCTCTCTTTTACCTCTATGTAGGAAGCCATGTGTTCATCTGTCGTTTATAACATGTCCTGAGGCTATTGTGCTGATAAGGAGAGCATGTGGTAAGAGGAAGATTGACGCTGGAGAAAAAAATGGAGTGTGAGAAAACAAAGAGAAAAGGAAGAGCAGCAGCTGCTGAATCCATTTCTGGGCGCATACTTTCACGGAGGGACACAGGAAGTCTTAGTGGTTCTCGATGAGGTGAGATCATACTTGCCTAAAGAGATGATGAAAGTTAATGAAAGTCGGCGGACAATGGGCTGAGCACATTTCCAAATGTGTTAACGTTGTTTTGCTTAATTCATCCATATCCAGATGAGATTCAGCCTATGAAATTCTTGAATATGATAAAATTAGTTGGCCACTCTTATCTGGGTGGATTCTGGATCTCTGTCATGTTGGACAAACCTTGTCATTAATATAATGTAATATAACGCGTATGTGTTAGTCCCCATAGGGAAATTACTGCTCTGCATTTAACCCATTCACCCAGTGGGCAGCCACCAACGCAGCGCCAACGGTACCTTGCTCAGGGTAGCTGTTCAGTGGAGTCGAACCCCCGACCTTCCGATCATGGGGCAACCACTCTACCTACTGAGCTATCCCTGCCCATTTGAGCAAAGACTAGTTCCTCTATCTTTGTCACTTGTTGAGAGGATGGCAAATTCCGCAGATTATTGCATTCCCACATCAAGAGTACAATAATGTACTCTTTCAACCCCCTGTGACCAGTTTTTATCTCCATTAAGCCAGAGAGATTACCAACTTGCTGGTGACAAAAGGTGTAGATATAAACACACAGATGTAACAAAACAGCAGGCTTGTGTCAGTGCAGAATGTCTAGAGAGCGACTTGAAGGTGTGAAATGGATCCACGTTGTTTGGCGTACGTGGAGGCCGTGTTGGGCCAGTGCTGAGCTCATTTCCCAGGGTGCTCAGCAGCAGGTGTGCGTCTCATTTGCCTGTCATTTCACCTGTTGACAGTGTTTGTGTTTTTAGAGTATTTTCTCTGTGTGTGTCTGCAGCTTGCAACAAGAGAAAAGTTTATTTAAGTCTACCTTTTGAATCCACTTTGGACACGCTTTGGCTTACAAAGCTGCGTGTGTGTGCATGTCCCGTGTGCAACTACACTAACATGCGTGCTTGCTTGTGCCTGTCTTCACATGTGGCCGGTCGCCACAGGAGTGGCAGAGCTGTAATCAGCACTTTACACTATGTCGCACAAGAGAAAATGTTCTGAGAAAAATAGGAGCAATTACTGACTGGAGTAATGCACAACCAGCTCTGACCTCATCCAGGACTTGAGATTACATTGAGACAGGACACAGACTTACTGCAGGGAGGGTAGCTCTCCACAATGATGTCATACATGCTGTCTGCCAGTGGAAAAGATAAAAAAA